CCCGCGAGAAGTAGATCCTCCATACTACTATTGATTGTTGGGAAAACCTCTTGTAGGTACAATAGATAACAGTTTTATGAACGTTAAAGGATGATCCCATGACCCAGACAAGTGGAAACACTCGCAGGAGGCTCTGCTCCCAATCTCCCACCGGAGATTTTCGGTTCTGAGGCGGCTTACTCACCCTGCTACCTGTTCTTCTTTCAGATCCGCAGTCCTCCCAGAACCCTTGGTAAGGTCAACTTCCCGTCCAGGACAAAAACGGTCCACGGAACAATAAATTTAATTAGGAAGTAGACAAGAAAAAAAAAAAAAAAGCGGGCTCGTCCGGGATTTGAACCCGGGACCTCTCGCACCCAAAGCGAGAATCATACCCCTAGACCAACGAGCCACTCCGTGGAGGAATGCGTAGTTTTAGCCCCAGATATGGATCTATACAGAGTTGCTTAATTCCTGAAAAAGTTAATCTTTATCTCTGGCATATTCAAAGCACCTCCCGGATTTCCGAGCTCCCCACGCCCAACCTATCCCTGTTCGACCCATATTGGCGTCCGCTGTGAACTCAGCCGTAAGTAGCTCGCTCAGCGTTAATGCTCGGTATCACTTGGCCCCTCTGAGATCTGGAATCCGAACGAGGGCCTCATTGCTAAGGCTACTCGGGCAGCAGGCCAGGACATCCCTTCGTTTTAGGACTCCCCCTTTCTCGAGGGAGCCCAAATAAGGCGCAAGTCTGGAGGCCCAGGGGCAGGGAGCAGAAGCCGGGAGAGCCGGAGGGCTCCTTGAGAGAACTGGGCCCTAGGCTTGGAGGGGACGCGGTATGGACTAGGTTCCGAGACGCAACAAACGAAATGAAACCCTCGTAGTCCTTTCTTGTGGGGCACCTGGTAACGGGACGGGGGCTTCTCTTTATCGTTTTACGAAAATAAAAGAACAACATATACTTATTTGCAAAATGTTCATAAAATGTAGGGAAGTGAGAAATGAGAAGCAGAAATGAGATAACCAGGAAGCCGGCTCCCCCAAGGGGTGACCGACCGCGGTAGTTGGTGCGCCGCCCGCGACGATCGCAGTGCACGCGCGCGCACACGCGGCGCCCACGCCGCGCGTCCTGGCTCCCCGCCCTCGCTGCCTTCTCCTGGAATCGCCCCAGAACAGTCCCCCGCCCAGAGAACCAGAGGCCTGGGCCGTGCGGGCGCTTTCCTCCTGCAATTCCACTGGGTTATTTAGTAATTTAAAGAAAAAAAAAAGTGATTCTGATTCCCTGCTTTAGGAATTCACGAAAATCCACTCAGAGCTGACCCAAAGGTTTATTTTTGTGCCACCGGAAGAGAAATTCCCTACCCAGGTGGCTGTTAGAAAACATCGTGGGAGACGAACGGTGGTTAACCTCCTCCAAGGAAAAGAAGTGCTATTTTTTCCATTGCCACTCTCCGCAGTCTTGCTCAGCCCGCTGCGCAGACCTCTCCACTCGCTGCTCCTCCTCTCGGCCTCTTCCTTGGAGACCACGATGCTAATGAATCCCATCCCCACCTAGTGTTGTCTGCACCTCCTCCAGGGCACCCTCAGCGTTAGGTGGGCTCCCCTCTGCTCACGGCAGCTGTGCGTCCTTGGCTTCCCTTGGGTCACTACGGCCTCCGTGTTGTAAGCATTCGCGTCTCTTCTCCATGGAATTATATAAAGAAAAGGGCAAACAAGTGTCCACATCCATGACACCTGAACCTAAAGACTATACCTTTGTCACATTCGCTTCCACTGTGTTTTTTTAAACAACTATTTAGTTTTCCTTTTAAACAAACCAACTAACATATGCTACCCTTCCGATTGATTCATTTATGTTGTTAACAGAAATCGAGTGTACAAAATGAGCCTAAATCCTTAACGAACAATGGGGGTGCTGCCGCATAAGCAGAACCTGGCCTGCAGGAGGTCGCCCTCCCTCCGTGGCCTTCGCGGGCACGACCCATCCAGGCGGCCTAGGCAGAGGCAGAGGACCTTCAGAAAAGCCCTGAGCGAGTGGCCATCCCACTTAAGGACTGACCCCGAGCAGCAGTTTAGCTTGGATCAGGGTTCGAAATAGAGCCCGGGCCAGGTACACCAGAGGAGAGAAAAACACTCGCGGAAAACTGGGTAGACGTCGGGGAGAGGTGAATGAGGTGGGTGGGGTTCGCGGCAGGGAAGGGATGCGCTTCCCTCCCTCACCCAACCCCGCTCCCATCCAAAAACCCAAACTTTGCGTCAAGACCCGAACGGATTTGCGGCCCTTGCGCGACCCAGACTCCCGGGATTCTTCAGCCCTTATGTGCCTACCCTATTGGAAGGCCACCCCACTACAGAAGCCACTGAGGGAGCCAATGGCGACCTACGCGGGGGCTTAAACATAGTCCCACCCCGGACTAAAATAGTAGATTCCCAGGGTCCGAGGGGAGGAAGGCCGTTCACAGGTGGTCCCCACGCAACAAAGAGAAAGAATTAGAGATCAGCCCTGGTCCAAGTGGAGCAACAGGTAAGGGAACGGAAAGTTCTGCCACGAACTCGCAGAGAGGGCGCGGAAAAGGAAGCGAGAAAGGGACCGCAGGGAAGAAGGCGCGCAGAGCCAGTGATCGCAAGACCAAGTCGTAGCGGGTCTGGCCTTCTACAGATTAGGCCACGGGAGGGAGTGGCCGATAGGTGGCAGGCACTTGAGGGGCAAAAGCACGGAGCTCCGCCAGTGTCTGGCCTTTCAGAACGACAGAAATTCGTCTTAGCGCGGGCATCTTCTGTTCCTCCACCCTTCGGAAAGGGGTGGAAAAAGTGGGCAGAAAAAGGTAGCCAGGCCCCAGCGAGATTTGAACTCGCGACCCCTGGTTTACAAGACCAGTGCTCTAACCCCTGAGCTATGGAGCCAGCTGCGAAAGCTTTTTCTGCGCAGGAGCAATTGATGCTGCTAAGGTTGCCGCGCAGCCGCAGACCACCATAAGGAGGAGCTAAGCGGAGAAAGGTGGGGCCAACGCCCCGGGCCACTGTGGGCTCTGTCCGGCCGCCGCCGCCTCACCTGCGGCGTCAGTAAGTGTCAGCCCCGCAAGCTGAGCTACAAATCCTGGGAAAGAGCCCGGCGAAGAGAAGGCGGGAGCTGCGCGCGCGGACGGGCAGAGGCTGTGAGCTATCGGGTGACGGCGGGGGCTCCGCGGGCGGGGGCCGGGCCTCCGATGGGCGGAGTCAGTGGAGGGCCCCGGGGATGGAGCGGGGTCGGGACGAAGACTTGGAGCGAGGGGTCCGCCACTTACTGCGTACGAGAGTAGGGGTCCGAGGTCAGGGCCCTGAAGGAGAGGTTAGAGAACGGGTGTCAATAGGCCTGTCCTGAGAGGGATCCAGATCTGAGCTGGTAAGATGGGCAGGTGGAGATCAGGAGGGAAAGGTTGGTGGAGGATGGGGAGGAAATCAGAAGACTGGAGGCCCCTGGCCCCTACCGCAACTTGAAGCAAATTAGGAAAAGGCAGCCTTTAGGACCTGTCTTGGACTTCGGGGGAGCTAGCTCCGTCAGGGCCCCCAAAAGGACCCACAGGTAAAGGGCAGGGAGAGAGATGGAGAATCTAGGTGAGGGAATGGGAGCTCTAGCCCGGCAAAGGTGAGAAAGTGGCAGCAGCAGTTGGTGGACCTTGGTCCGGTGGCCCAACCTGCCCTTTGGTCCTTGAAAAGCCAGATGACTTAGGTCACTGGGTCACCAGGCCATAGAAGGGTCCCTGGTGACCTCCAGTCTGGATGCTGAGGAGCGGTGTGACCGTCTGGTGTCAGGGATGTGGGTTCTCCTGTCTCAGCAGCTCAGGAGGATCTAAGACCAGTTAAGAGTGGAGTCAGGTGGACTAGAGTTAGGCCAGTCGTTGCTCTCAGAGGCCCAGAGATCTCAGAGATCTTATGATGGTCAAAGGATGAGAGGAAAAATCACACATGCAGGCATACTCTCACACCTAAGTCATCCTTGTGTCATCCTAAGTCACTGCCCCACCCTGGTGACGAAGAGTAATCTCTCTCACAGTCCACATGGAGTTGTTATGTAACTGTTGTTACATCTCTTCAGATATATGGATGTCTACGTAGTCATTCTGCAAACTCTGATAGACACACAGTCACATTCACAACACAAAAGCTGAAAATATACACACAGACAGCCACCCCTGCAGTGCCCAGACCTGACCCACGAGGCACCTCACCAGTCACCCTACCTTCTGTGACCTGTGATGTGTTGCAGTATTTCAGCGCGGTTGTTAGAAGATATAATGGGAATTGTGATACTCAATCCAAAAGCCATATAAGCCCAGATAACACTGGAGCTTGATGATAATATCCAGCAATTTAATTAGTAAATGAATGTTAGAAATAGATTTTCCTTGTGGAAATCAGTCATATTCAGATACGTGGATTGGCTACAATGTTCGAGAGCCACTCTCCATGTATGAGCAAAACAAAGGATTCACCTTCTGGAATGCTGCTGTAGGCTGGATGATTAAATGTTCCTGTCCTGAGCCTCTAAGACTCTCATATGCAAAGTGTGCTTGAAGCATCTCAGGGACAGACCACGGAAACTCCATGATGTTTGCAGACCAGACTGTTAGATGGTCACTGTCCCTGCATGTCAACATGTCCATCTAAACAATCTGTGCGGGACAGAATTAAGTCTGAGATTGGCTTTCATATAGCTGGGTAGCCAGGTAGTCGGAGAAGGAAACATTTGTCCCTCACCTAAATATGGGGTGGCTAGTATTTTACAACAAATCAATAATAGGGTATGACCATACTGATGTAGGTCTGTTTGCACCTAAACCTATGTGTGTGCTCCTAATTGCCCTCTCCAAAATCCACGTTCCCCCCGCCCCCATCCCTGAGGTCCTAGATGTAAACACACTTGCACACATTCCTCACATGCATAAACACACATACTCACCATCTGGCAGAAACCCTTGCTCATAATTGTGTTCCTCCATTCAGACTGAGGGAGTTAAGAATGAGCCAAGGCACCTTAGAAATGAGCTCACAGTCTGTATTTGCATCTCCCCATCCCCCTCTCCTGGGACCACTAAGAAGGGAACAGCCCATCTCTACCCTCCCAGAAGCCCAGCCATATGGAAGCTGGGGAACAATTAGCCAAGGGAATAACACCCACCAAGGCACAGGGCTGAGCAGTCCTTGGCACCAAGGTCCTCTGTTGTTGGCATACATTTTCGAAGCTCCAGGAACAGTGGGTCAGGGGCATGCCTGTGCCCCCTACATTTCCATGCTGGTGTTAGTTGCTTCTGTAAAATTATAATTGCTGTCTTGTGTTTCAAAACTCCAGAATCTTTGGTCTCCTTACCCAAGGGAGACTGTACTTTGGCACTTGAAAAGGGTTTAGGCAAACGTGAGAACATGAGGCTGTCACTGTGGCCAAGGATGTACACGTCACCAAGCTAAGGGGTGTTGGACGGTAGCAATGCATATATGCTGTTGTCCTGGGCTCTTCCCTCATGTACAGATCAAGGATCTCCTTCCAGTTCTGGCCCAGACTCTCCTCTAAGCTGGGAGTACAGCGCTTCTCCCTGAGTATACTTCAACAGGCCAGCCAGATCCAGGTCTCTGAAGCCAGAGCTGGCAGGTGACAAGAAGGCAAAGCAGACGTGATCATGAACCTGGCTGGCCTGGCAGGAACCTGCATCCTTGTAACTGAGGACAGCACAGAACCAGGGCTTGCTGTTGTTCAACAAACTTCTGAAATGATCCTCTTGGCTCAGTGATTCTGTAGCAGAAGTCAGCTTTCCTCGCTGAGTCATGCATGCAGAGAATGGAAGCCAGGCACCCACCACGTTTCCAGGGGACCTTCCCAGCTGCCCAAGTCGAGATTTCCGAAAGTGAGTGTAGGTAGGTCACGGAGCCAGAGGCCTTGCTGAGCTGGGGCAGTGATAGGAAGCACCTGTGTCAGGAGCTGGGCTCCTGTCCTTATCCACCTCCGCCTCCTCTCTGCTCAGGCCAAATCTACAGGCCTAGGACAGGTAGAGGACAGGCCTGGAGGGTCCAAGGCATCTCTTCCCCTGCTCTATTGACCTCAGAGCCCTTTCCCCAGCCGCCCACTCTCAGGTCTTTGATGTTGTGGTCTGCAGAAGCCCTTCTAAAAGCAGCCTGGGGCAAGAGTCCAGAGGGCAGACCCAAAGTGACCAGGAGGCTCCATCGGAGGACCACATCCCTACCCACAGGCAGCCAGGACTAGGAGGAGGTCACCCACTGGCAGGCCGGGCAACGCCCCCCTCAAGGCCAGATTCGCAAGTAGGTGCCTGTGGAGCAGACAGAGAAAAGGGGAAACACGCGCTCTTGGAAGTTGACGCGGAAGGTGTAGATGTGACGCATGTCCTCCGCGGCGTAGAAGGACACGGCCCCCACCTCCAGGTCCAGGGCCACCCGCACGCGGGACAGGTGCCCACAGCTGAGGGGCGTCCGCTCGGGGCTGGTCACCGCCCAGTACTGCCCGCTGTTGAGCTGCAGCGCCCAGACGCCCTCCTCGGGGGTGAAGGGCGTGAGGCCCTTGCGGCGCACGCTCTCCCGGGCCACCCCGAAGGCCCAGCCGTCCTTGGAGCCCACTTCCACCTCCCAGTGGTGCCGCCCTGACGAGAAGCCGCATGACGCCAGGACCCGAGTGTTGGTGTCGAAGCGGCGCGGGTGGCTGGGCAGGTCCTGGGCCCGCTGTCCAAGGCGCACGCTCTTAAGATCCAGAGAGAGGATGAGCCGGGGGTTGGCCGTGTCCGGGTCCAAGGTCAGCTCCACTGTAGGGGGACAGGGTGGGGGTGGAGGGGTGGAGAGACACAGAGAGACGTCCCAAGCAAGCTCCTTGCACAGCTCCCGCCCCCCTGTTATTGATCCCCCCAACCCCCCACCTTCCCCACCCCCGTTCAACAAGTACGTGTTGAAACCAAACAAATACATTCAATGGCCCTGAGTTGGATCGTGATTCAAACAGATCGACAAATGCAACTGAAAAGACAATTGGGGAATTTTGGACACTAGATACTGGAAGGAATCATTAAGTTTTTACTTATGATGATGGTTTTGTGTTTATGCTTTTTTAAAAGAAAAAAGTCTCTCTCTTTGGAGACAACATACTGAGATATTTATGGAAATGACAGTTATCTGTGATTTGCTCCAAAATAATCCAGTCAGCAGAAGTGGGGAGGGGTGTTTATGAAAAATACTAGTGAGAGTCAGTAACTGCTAAAGGTGATGGATACCTAATATTTGATACGCTCTCCTCCATACTTTAGTGTATGTTTGAACTTTTCCATAATAAATAGTTAAAATATGCACACTTGTTGTACGTACTACTATGTTCTGGGTCTGTTCAAAGCCCTGAGAATCCCACAGTGGAGTATCCCTGCCCTCCTGTAGCTTCCTTCCTCGGGGGAGAGGGAAGAGAGACAAAAAATGATAGAGGAATCAGGACAGCCAACTGCAGTTTCAACTAGAGGGGCCAGGGAAGGCCTCACTGAAAAGGTACCTTTGAGAAAAGACATAAAGGAGAAGAGGGAGCCAGACATGTAGCTGTCTGGGGGAAGGATGCTCCAGCCCCAGGCATAGCCAGTGCAGTGCAAAGGCCCTGAGGTAGGTATGTGCTTGGTGCATTCCGGGAACAGCAGGAGGGTGTGTGGCTGCACAGAGTGAACCAGGGGGAAAGTGTGCAGTGAGGCCGGATCCTGTAGGGCCTTGAAGACCACAGTGAGGACTCCAGCCTTTACTGAGTAAGGGGGAGGGGGGCTGTCACACAGTTCTGGGCAGAGGAGGGACGTAGTCGACTCAATTGGTTTAGATTCTTCCCAGGTGAAGTCTGATTTAGCTCAGCCATCAGCGTCAGGAATATGTGCTCTCCCCTCCTGACTCCTCCTCCACTTGGACCTCACGCATGCTAAGAACCACCTCCCTTCCTGTCTTCAGTCCCCTCCTGCTTCCCCTGACCCCTGCACACAACCCCTGTCCCCAGGAGAGGTCTCCATCTGTCTGGGAGTGGGGACAGGGAAGAGAGGCTGGTCCAGGTGACCGACAAGCCCTCCCCCCTCATCTAAATACCCCAAAGAGCAGGGCACTCCTGCTCCGGACCGACCCAGAGCTTCTAAGCCTAGAGGCCTCACTGTGGCCTCAGGGGATCCGAATTGGGAGGATGAGGGAGAAAGGGCAGCAGATGGCAGCGCTGCTGAGGTGGATGGGCAGAAGGAACCAACCACGCCCAGAACCCAGGGAGACAGTCACTGGAGGGGAGCGGATCTCTACGCGGCCAAGTGACAGATACTCACTACAATAACCATCCTACCTTTTTCCTCTTTCTCCAGCTCTCCCCGGAGATCTTCTAAGGAGAAACAAAGCAGCATGTGCATGAATGACATGGGAGACTTCTCTCTGGCAATGACAGTGGCACCAGCTCCGCGCTGGCTCACTCACTCCCCAGATACCCTTGAGTTGACGGGCAGGCACTGGGCCAAGCATGGCGGTGGGGAGGGGCCGGTATTCTTGCTCTTCCTCTCCCACCTCCCCCTCTTCTGCCTGGAGCCATTCTGAGCTAAGTTCTCCTTCCTCATCCCCCTTTCTGCCCCCAACGCCCCTCTATCCATCTGTCCCCAGGAGAAGCTTCATGCCCTGGGGTAGAGGTGGGGTTTCTAAATAAATTAGTCGTGTGACCTGCCCGGGTCCATCTGGCCTTTGACACACCCTTGTTACTGTTTTATCACACAGCTTCTGGAAAGGCACATCCTCCGGACCCCAACCCACCAGAAACACACCGCCACCACCAGCACTGCATGGCCCAGCCCCCCACACAGGCCCCTACCTTTGAACTTCTTGAGCAGCCCCTTTAAGACAAAAGTCTTGAGGGAAACATTCCAGACTTTATTCTTCATCTCAGAAGAGACTGTGGTTGGCTTGGGGGCAGGCACATTGCTGCATCTGCAGGACAAGGACCCTGAGGGAAGGCTCACAAGCAAGGTCCCGTTCACACTGGGTTGTGACAGTTAGGATAGTGAGGTTGTCTGGGTTGGGAGATGTGGAAAAGGAGAGCTTGACCTTGTGCTGAAATACCCATGGCCAGGCAGCAAACATTTGCCTCAGAAGGTACCCAGGTAAAGCAGTAGGGGGTGGGGACCAGGAGGTGAGAGGTCAGAGGTGGGGAATGAAGAGAGAGAGCTCAGTGGAAAAGAAGAGCCAGAGGCCCAAGGAATTGTTAGGTCCACTCACCTGCTTAGTGTGGTTTTGAATTCCTGGAAAGAAAGATGAGAGAAAACTAAATCAGCCCTGGGTAACCTCTATTCACCTTTGAGAAAATAAAATTGGCCCCTTGCCCTGCTTCCAGAGAAACAAGCAAGAAGCAGGGGTGTCACTACCCCACCTCCCACCACTGCCTGCAGGGGCCCCAGGTGGCAATGGCTTCCCGATGTGGCTGGCCACTCAGTGTCTCATCAACAAGGTAGACCCCCTCAGCCCCGCCCACACCTCTGCAAATGCTCCTGTCATCACAGAATTGTCACGGGAGCCAAGTGCTAGGACCCAGCATTGCCTCTGCTTTCAGCATCACCCAAGACAAGTGACAGCCCTTAAGGCAACAACTGGTCACTCAGACCAGTGTCTTTTAAATGACCATTCTTAACCCATTTGTGACTTGTGAAGTTTATTTAGTGGATTGTGACTATTTCAGGAGGAAATAAGATAGAATAGAAAACAGCAAAGTGCATCCCATGTAGTAAAGATAAGTGTCATTTTGAGACTTGTCACAGGTGTGTGACAAAAATAGAATACATTGATTAAGGTACATTATGTGGATCACGGTTAGGGAAGTTTTATCACGTCCCCTTAGGCCTCGAACCCCAGGAAAATCTGGGCTCCTCTTTCCAGTCCCCTTGGGCTCCAGATTGTGGGATTCCACTAAACTCATAGGAGTATGACTCTGTTCTCGTTCCATTCTTGATGTCTTAGGATAAATGACTCATATCTCTGGCTGAGCCAGACTCACCTGGAGAAAGTCAAGGTCGGGCTTGCAAGTTGTCTCCTGGATCTGGCTGCTGAGCTTGGAGAGCTGGGCGATCTCACTCCCGAGCTGGGCCAGGTTCTCATTCTGCTTCTGTGTCACCTCCCTGGACAGCTCCTCCAGGCGGCCCAGGAGCCGGCCCTCCTGCTCCACCAGGAAGGCCCGTAGAGCCTGGAACTCCGCCCCCACCTTCTCTCGCTCGGCTGCCATCTGCTTCTGTCCCAGGAGGAGAAGGGAAAGGGGGGAGAGGATGGGGCCATTGAGACACCATATGTGGACAGGACCCAGGGCAAGGTTCCAGCCCCCTCACTGCTCAGGGCTCAGAGACTCACCCACACATGTCCACCATGCCCACACTCTAAGTTTCAAGATCCCAATTCTGAGCACACAGCAGCCTCAACGTGTGCTTTTTTTCCCTTCCCCTGTCACAGATGCACCCATGTGTCTCTTCAGATCTGGGCTCTCCCACCAACTTAGGGCAACTTCAAACTCACCCTGGACCCACCCAAGGCTGCAGTTTCCTCATTTGAAAAGTGGGAGGGATACATTAGTACCTCCTGCAGTCACTGTAAGAATTAAACTGCGGTCACTTTTTCTTCCCCAAACACATTTACGTTGTGTTAAAAACAAAACAAGGCAACAGGCCCAAAGTGGAGTCGCTTATGCCAAGCCTCATGTCACCAAACTAAGACTTAATTAGAGTTTCAGTTCTCCTATAAGTGTCATCTTAAACCAGCCAAAAATGAATCACCTCCGATTAGTGTTTGTTCAGTAATCTGCCTGACAAGCCCCTGTCATTTCCTGCAGCAAACTTGCAATAACCAATCACTTTTTTGCCTATTACAAGTCAAGAGACCTGGGTTCAGGCCACTGTTCTCCATTCTTCAGGAAGCTGGGCAAGCAGGCAGCAGCGGCACAGGGCACTTTACAGGTGTTAACTCCCTCAATGCTGACAACAACCCAATGATGTGGGTACCGCTCTCATCCTATTTTACAGATGAGGAGACAAAGACAGAGAGGTGTACCACCAGGAAGCGGGAAGCCAGAACTTTTTTTTTCTATACCTTTATTGTGGTATGATTCCTGTATGGTAAACTACACATATTTCAGATGTACAATTTGATGAATTTTGATAGATGTGTACACCCATGAAACCGCCACCACAATCAAATAGCTAACTTGTACATCACTCCCCAAGACGTGCAAATTTTCAAATTCCCAATTTATCCCTTCTCACCCCCTTAAGCCCCTGGGAAGCCAGGATTCTAATCCAAGGAGTCTGACCCCAGAGTCTGAACTTCTAACAACTACAGCATATGGTCTCTCAAGGAAGTAACACAAGTGGAACAGTATTTGCCAAAATACTCTAAATCAGGGTTTCCAACTTCGGCGCCATTGATATTTGGGGCCAGATAATTCTTTGTTGTATGCGACCATCCTGTGCATTGCAGGATGTTTAAGCAGCACCCTCACCTCTGCCAGTAAACACCAGTAGCACCCCTGCCCCAGTGTTGACAGCGAGAAATATCTCTGGACATTGCCAAATGTCCCCTGGGGGCCAAAAAATGCCACCAGTTGAGAACGACCCGCTCTAAATGGTAAGCACGTTCTCAAGTGAGAGGGTGTAGCTCAAATGGTAGTGCACATGCTTAGCATGCACAAGGTCCTGGGTTCAATTCCCAATACCTCCACTGAAGAAAAAAAAAAACCTAAACTAATAATAAATAAGTTAGTAGAGCCTAATGACCTCTCTCCACCCCTGCCAAATAGAAGCTTAAAAAAAATTTCATTCTCCTTGTTATCATGGCAGCAATAGTTGTTTCATTAAGCAGGTATTTTATAATTATAAAGAATGGGGTTGGGGGAGAATGTATGGGGAGGTGGCTGGGTGGGTGCTGTGCTGGCAGAGGAAAGAGTAGAAAGTGCTAGCAATGTCATGGGGCGTTAGGTCAGAGACCATGAAGCTACTTAAGCTGTGGAAGGCCCTCTGGGTCATGGGTGTACAACAATGGCCAAAGAGTCACACACTTACTCCTTTTTCCAGCAGATGGAGGTCTGGAGGGGTGAGAGGTGAGCTTGTGGAGGGAAGTGAATGACCAGACAGGAAGGCCTGAGATGTGCATGGGATGCAGGTGTATCAGGTGCAGCTCAGGGTCAGGAAAGGACTCTGGGACATCTGAACTCAGAGTCCTCCCCTTCTCCCCACTCCTCCCCTTAACAGTGGTGGTGGTGGTGGGGGGGTGGTCCTCAAGTTCCTCTCCCTCCATTTTCTAATTCCAGAACTGAATAGCCCTGCCCTAACAGGCCCTAGTGGATTCTTTCATTCTCTTAACATCTATTTATTGAGCTGGGAACTGAATTTTTGAGGTAGGAAATGATAGTGACCCACGTTTGCCCACCTTAACCAAAATAAACCCAATTTCACTTTCCCCTTCCACTTCAAGGAAGACAAAATATCGCCCCAAGCCACCAGGGGGCGCTGGGCACAATCGGCTCCTGAAAACCGGTCTCCAAACCTGCCCTTTGTTGAATGGGGAGCAGCTCTGCCATCCCCTTCTTCACCTCCATTCCCCCTCTTCCCTAGCCTCAGGTGCAAAACTTCAAAAATTCTAAAAATGAAAAAAGTTTTTCGTAACTCCTTTGATGGTTAAATATGCCCTAGACTGACACGAGGCTATTTATTTTTTGTTCCCACTTAATACGGATATATTTATATTTCTCCTCTGAAACATTATTGTGTTCAGCTGCAAGATGCTCCACAGACCCTAACTGGGGTGTTATGTATTACTGGGAGGACTATACATCCTGATTCACTGGGACAGTTCCAGTTTAAGCCAGCTGTTCTTAAACAATTATTTCAGCACTCCCCAAAGTCCTGATTGTATAATATTACATAGTCATCCTATATAATATGCATTCCATTATATTTCTAAAATCCACTTCTGCTGTTCCACAGGCACACACTCCAAAAGCACACACACTGAGCCAGGGTGATGAGTGACCCTTTGCTGTCGCCCAGGAGGGGCCAACCTGGGGATTGCCCTGCTCACCAGGAGCTCCTTGCTCTCCTTCTCTTCGGTGGAACGAAACACCTCATAGTCATCCAGATCCTTCTTCAAGACCTTCAGCCTGGACTCCAGGAGTTCCTGCGGGAGGGTGAGAAGGGAAGCGTTTTGGGAAGAGGATTCTGGAAACCCTGACATGTGTCTTCCTGGAGACACCCAGGAGAAAGGGAAGGCCCTGTTCACTGTGGGGGAGGAGGCAGGGCTGAAGCTCTCTCTGGATGTGGCAATGGATATAGCCATTGCTGCATATAGGGGAACAGGGCAACTGCAGGGTGACTCGAAAGGCCCCAGGGTCTCACGTCCTCAAGACCATCTGTGCACAATCCAGGCTGAAATGCAAGCCCCCTAGCAGCCTCACCTGCCTGGTCCTCTCTTTGCTCTCCTCACTACCATCAGAAAGCCCTTTGGGTGGGAGGGCTGGAGCAACGTAAGAGCAAAGAAAGACTAGAAGCTGTGTACCCCAGGCCTCCTCGCACACCCAGCAAGTTGGCAGGAAAGGGAAGCGCCCAGAATCGACAGCGTTGATAAAACCCAGATGGCTCTCGGCGCTCTGCTCACCCAGGAGCCACCCACCCCGTTACCCCGACCTCTTGGGAAGGTCGTCCCACTCGGTCCCAGGGGGTGAGAATGTCGAACACAGCCACGCCCAGGGAAGGGGCTAAGAGTGGGGGTGGCGAATGCGTGGGTGTGACGGAGACCCCGCTAGAAGCCAGAGACCAACAACAACAAAAAATCTCCAAATCCGTGGGGGCATCGCGCAGACCGTGCAGAAGGGGCCCAAACGCAAGAAGGGTGGGAGTGTGGTATTGGTGGTTTGGGGGTGACAGGGAGAGCTGAGGCTCAGTCCCGGAGCCAATGCCGAGCAGCACGGGATCGGAGAAAAGAAGCAGGGGTTCGCCTGGGCCTTCCTGCTCGCCCGCCGGTCGTCTACAGTGTGTGCACGGGAATGCAGAACTGGGGGGTCCCGGGGACCTGCAGGGGTGGGCTCGGCCCTTACCTTGGCCTCCTGCACGGCCTCGTCGAGCGGCAACACGGCGTGCGCGCGGTGCTCGCGGGCGCGGTCGCACACCACGCAAATGGCACGGCCGTCGTCCTGGCAGTAGAGCTTGAGCGGTTCGCCGTGCTGCGCGCACCCGGCCGCCACCGCCTCCGGAGCCCCGCGCTCCCCGGGCGCGGCCGCTGGCAGGCTGAAGCGCCGCAGCAGTGTGGCCACCGCGGCCAGCTGCCGGTTGGGCCGCAGCTGGCCCGGGCGCGCGGGCTCGCGACACTGCGGGCAGGGCAGCGAGAAGGGCAGCGTGCGGGACGCGGAGGCGGCCCCCACGCCGGGGCGCTCCCAGCATCGCGCGATGCAGGCGCGGCAGAAGCTGTGACCGCACTCGACGGACACCGGCTCGCGGAAGAGCTCCAGGCAGATGGAGCAGGTCGCCTCGCCCTGCAGCTCTGCCGCCAGCGCCAGCGCCTCGGCCCCAGCGCCTGGGCCAGTCCGCGGACCCACCGCCGCCATGCGCGCCCTCGCGGCACCCAGGTCTGGCGGCGCCAGGGAGGCCACCTGATCCCACAGCACACGGCACGGAACGCAGCGGCCGGGGCGGTTCTCCGAGCGCCCACTCGGAGAGGAAGGGCGGGGCCGACGCCGGCTGGCTGAGACTGGAGCTGAGGGTGGGCCGGGCTGGAAAACGGGAGGGGAGGCTGCGTGTTGATGGCAGGCCGGGCGGCACAGGACGAGGAAATCTAAGTGCTGGCCAGTGCCCTGCGTTCCCGCTCTGAACCCCTCAGTCCCCCTCCTCGGCCCGCGGCCTCCTCGGTCCCGCGGCGCCTTCTCTCCGTCTCTCCCTTCGCTCGGCCTTGACGCAAGCCTTGCCTAGGCCGCCCCAGTCTGACCCGGTCAGCCGTGGGAAACGGGCCGGGACAGGTGGATGCACACGCCCACCTGGGGGCCACTCCCAGTTGCCGCCCGCCGCGGACCAGGCACAGCCGGCCCGAGGGCCTGGCATCCGGACCACAGTGTCAGATTCCCAGAGCGCAGGTTTGCCGGCTGCTGAGCTAAATTTGGAGTCTGGAAACTGGCTCTTGCCTCCCAAGCGCCACCCCAAATCGTGGCCTTGTATCCACCTGTCTTCTCCTCACTCCCCCTTGTTTATTCTTTATTTTTGTTTTTTTAGCAAGCAAGCAAGCATTTACAATCAATTTCCCCACTTTATTCGGTGTTACCCACCCCCCGCCCCAAACCCAGTCCTCTATTGTCTCTCCAGCTCATCTCTACCAGCCGCCGTCCAGAACTGCCAGTATTATTTGCTTCCATGCCCTCTCTCCGTCATTCCCTCTGAAGGACACTCGGGCAGATTTTCTTCCCCAGCCTCCTCAGAAACCGTTCTTGTCAAGGTCACCAGTGACCATAGCGATCGTAACCCAAAGGTGAAGGCCCCTTCTCAGGCTTCACCTTCCCTCTCCTCTGATGCTTCCTCCTTCCTGACACCCTTTCTCAGCGCCTTTCAGGACAAGCAAACCCAGGCCAGAAAAAGTTACTTAGCTGACCAAAAATGACAGATTTAATTAGTCAAAACCGACTTGCCTGATGGAATAAAAACATTAAATAACTTCGTGGGATATTAATATTCCTTAAAGCCGTTTCTTTCATTGTCTTCATGTTACTAACCTCAGCATTAAAAACGTAAGAGTGAAAAAAAAAAAGGGAAAAAATTTGCAGGCCCCACCCCTAGTCCTGAACATCTCCTCATTCTCTTACCCCCTCCACTGCATCATCTCCTACAATCTGGTGGTCGCAACAGTTCTCTCCCCTTCTATGCCGATTCCCTGCCCTATCTTCTCCATCCAGCTTTGAGAACAATCTTGCTAAAATGTTAAGTCAGATCAGGGCCCTCTTCTCAAATCCTCCAGATTACTACATTCTCCCCCTGAACGCTGGCTCTACTTTTCTCGAGCACTATTCTTCCACTGGAATGTAAGCTGTTAGAGGGGATGGACTATGTCAGTTATGTTCACGGTTAGACCTCAAGTTTTCTAAGAGCAGTTCTTAGTACATACAATAGCGCGGGGTGAACTTTTCTTCGATTGAATTGACTTAAACGTGGCTCAAAATTCAGATATATAGGGCAATTCACAGTGAAAAGTCTGCCCTTCGCCTACGCCCCAGTCCCCTTCCAATCCAAGCAATGAACTTTGCAATTCTGAATTATTTTATACAAATATTAAATATTTTACCACATTCTCCCTTTTTTTGTTGTTGTTTATTAAACGTAGGATCCTACACCCAGTCTTTCTTTTTTCGGTTCACAGTTCATATTTGGGCGTCGTGCTGGATGACTTTCCCTTCTTTTTTCCACCGCTGCCTCCAAGTATTTATCCCGGCCCTGTGCTCCACCAGGGCGTCCGTCGGTGGAGGTCCGCTCGCCTGGTGTCAGTAGAGGACCCTGGAACAGCTTGCAGAGCTATCCGCCAGACGTTGCAGTCTCTGGGGTGTTACGGCGAGCAGATGCCGACCGTCCACCCCGCGCCCTAGGCCAATAACCGACTAAGGCAACGTGAGGAAGAGCGAAAAAAAGAAGCGGGGATGTAGCTCAGTGGTAGAGCGCATGCTTTGCATGTATGAGGCCCCGGGTTCGATCCCCGGCATCTCCAGCGCGGATTACGTGTCCCTCTTTTTTTTTTTTGTCACAAGTTTAGAAATGCACGGTGTTTCCAGAGCCCTAGGGAAAATCCGCAAAGCCTGGAGTTTTTACGGGTTGGGAGGGGTCGGCGGCAGCTTCCACTCACTCCAAGCCACGCTCCTGACGCTACCTTTAAACTTAGGACTGAAAAATCAGAGTGAGCGTGTGGATGGCATGTTTTCATTCCTCTTTGCCCCGTGAGTCTTCCCAGGGACGAAAAGGGCTAGGTCGCTGGCAGAATAGGGCAAGCAGAAAACGGACGTAAGTCAAATGGACGGTTAGTCGAGCACGATAGGCAGATCTGTCTCCCAGGTTGCCAAGCACCCTTTAGTGGTCCGATCCTGCCCCAGGTAAACGCCAACTTCAAAAGTGGAGTAAGATTAACACAAAAATTGGAAACAACACCTTTCATCCCGCCCGGCTAGCTCAGTCGGTAGAGCATGAGACTCTTAATCTCAGGGTCGTGGGTTCGAGCCCCACGTTGGGCGCAATGTTCTTTTAATCATCTACCTGGATTGAAACAATTCTTTGCTCTTTCAGAAAATACCAAAAACTCCGATAATGTAAATTTATAATATGCAATAGTGACTTGGATCTTTCGCGGTTGGTTATGTCCTTCATCTATTAACAAATGAGCTTTTGAAACTGTTTAAAACGTACGTAATAAAATGTACCATTTTAATCATTTTTAAGTGCACAGTTCTGTGGCTTTAAACACAGTCACATTGTTGGGCAACCATCACCACCATCCATCGCCAAACTTTTTCGTATTCCCCAACCGAAACTCTACCCAGTAAACATGAACTCCCCGTTCTATCTTTCTCCCAACCGCTGGTAACCGCCGTTCCACTTTCTGTCCCTATGACTTTGACTACTCTCGGGAGCTCATGTAAGAAGAATCATACAGTATTTGTCCTTTGTTGATTGGCTTATTTCACTTAGCATAATGAACATGGGTGTACTAATAGCACACTTGTTCGAATTCCTGCTTTCACTTCTTTTCGGTCTATATCTAGAAGTAGAATTGCTGATCATGTGGTATTTTTTATGCTTAATTTTTTGTGGAATCACCATACTACTTCCAGAGTTTGCACCACAACATGAGCATTTTAAACATCTTTTGAGTAGGTAATATACAGTACTGCTCAAAAATGGAATCATCTATAAAATATTCAGCGAAAAGAATCTAACTTCCCTCCTTCCTCCTTAGATAACAACTTTTGTATCTGTGTACATATTCTTCGAGTTTCTTTTGATGCAAATATATTTTATTTGCCCCTATTTTACACAAAAAGATAATTACAGCTCTGTTGCATTTTGAAGGTCTTGCCATCTCAAGACATAGAAATTTCCCTATTTTTTGCAGCTGCATAATATTCCACTGTAGATGAATCCTAGTTTGTTTAACAGATCACATACTGATGGATATTTATAGTTTACACTCTCTTTTATTATAATCAATACTGCAGTTAATAAGCATGTAGCACTGTCATTTTACACTTTTGTCTTATATCTGTGCAGCAAAATTCCCAGACATGAATTTGCTGGATCAAAGTTTATACGCAGTTATAGTTTTATTGAAAAAGACAAATCACCAGGCTGTGGGTCCTACAGGCTGATATTACCTCCCACCAGTGAATGAAACTGACTGTTTTTCCATTGCTTTGGTGGCAATGGGCTACTTTAGCAACAAACCTAACATGTGACTGTCCCTACCCCTTTAAAATTGCCAGGGTCCCTCACTGTCCTATAAGATAATAACCATTGCAGGGTGCACAGCGTACCAACCTAGCCAGGAGAAGGATTTTCATTTTGCCCCTCACAGGAGCGTACTTGAACAAAAGGTTTTAAAGATCACATTATCAACTCTAATTTATGATTTCTCATGCAATTCTATAGGATAACATTATTTTCTCTGTTTTCAGACCCGTTTCTGCACTGCTCATCATGTTTTCTTCACTTGCAAAGCCATGATGTAATTGGAAATGCCTGTTTATTTATTTTTCACTCTGCAAATTTCCTCCCTTGTACAGAAAGACTCCAATCAGAAATAAGAAATTAAATTTATATCTGATTTTCCACTTGGCCTTGGTGTCATGTAGGACATATGTAAATTATTAGATCATGCATGTAGTTTGTGAAGTGTTCTATAGTAATGATAATATATAATTTATATGAAAACTATTAATCAACCAGCCACTTGAATATTTTAATTTAAAGACCTCACTGAAACACAAAATTATCTCCAGGTTTAATATATTCATGGCTATATTCTAACTAGTCTAGAAATACTCCAGGAGCATCTCTTTCTTTAGCAGTCACTTGTTTCCCTTACCCAGACTTTACAAAATCATTCTCCCACTGTCCATGTAGCATGAGGACAGATGGCTCAACTATCATCAAATGCTCACCCCATTATTTCATTGCTGTTCATTTAATGTCACATTAGTTTAAAGAAGCAACTCCCCTCAGAAAAAAAGGCAGGTCTCAGTCACATGCTGGTTTCATGGGGAATGCGAATTTTGGGTAAGGAGGAAGACAAAATGTCAACCAGAGCAAGCTAATTCTGGAGGACTGCCTGCCAGAGGAAGAGTGGCCAAAAGAGATGACCCAGAATGACCTGCTCCACCATTCTGTGTTAGGACCAACTGGATTAAAATCACCGGATATTTTGGGAAACCCTCTCTGCTGTCATTTGAGATGTTTAGTGTATAAGGGCAAGGAGCAGCCTTTTAAATATGGAAAAGAATACATACTTCTTTTGTGACTAATATTCAATGTATTTATAGTCGCAAATGTTAAAGTCAAGGTCTTCTCAAGAGTTTTAATTCAACTTACAAATATTGTTGTTTTCCATACAAAGCTAGAAATTTTTGAAACAACAGGAGCAACTCCTTTCACTGGTTCCTTTGTGAATTAAGGTTACGAAAAGGCATCATCCTGAATCTCTAAGGCACTGGTGACAGACTCTTAGGCTTTTCCAATGACAATTACAGACTTTATCTGAACCTCTCATTTCATGGTTAGGTAAAGGATGAGGCACAGACTGGCTCTCATATCTGGAATCTTGAGCTGGTGCCTGAATGTTCTCTATTGCTGCTGTAGGCTCCCTGCTTTAATCACTGACCCATAGCACTTAGAAACTCCAGGTTTATTGTTTATTTGCAATTTTCTGAGTGAACCTATGTGTTCATTTATTTGTCCTTAAAATATCCACCTTGTGTTAAAAAAAAAACAAAAAACTCCTACTGTGTTCCTCTTTGGGAGTCCTCTAAGACATAAGATCCAGTGTCCTCCATTAATTTTTCTATCCACTTGCAAACAAAACCATGAAGTGGTGTGGATGCAGTCATCAGGGTACAGAGCTAAGGAGGTATAGCTCCTTAGCCTCCAAGCCCCTCGTCTGCCCTCTGTCCTTGAATCCACCAAGTTTACTCTGACTTCAGAGCCTTTGGACTCTGCTTCCTCTCCCCAAGGCCTCTTCCCCCAAGATCTTTGGAATGCTGGCTCTTTCTCATCTTCCTGACTCAGCTCTTTGCCACATCTTCTGATGCACCTTTCCTCTGCCTGCCACTCTATCAGATCACCTTCATTAACTTCCTCATAGTGCTTGTCACTCTCTGAGATTATTTTTCTGTTTATTTGTTTGTTAT